ATTGTAATTGTAGTCTAATGTTTCATGAAATTAACAGTTAAACAAGGATCATTATTCTAAACAGAGTGAACGACAAGTAAAATCTCAAGAAAGATTTAACTAAATTTGATGAATTTAGGAAAAAAATCACATGTTCTCTAAAAATGTGAAATCTCATGTCTGCAGTAAAGATGCCTTTCCTGAAGTTTATTATACTTAAAATTTTGAAAACCTCTTAAAATGATTATCCGTAATATTTTGAATGGATTTTTTTAGAATCTATTCAGAACGCCTGATTCTGACAATAGTCTCGAATGATTATTGTAAATATTTCGTAATATCATTTTGATTTGAGTGAATACTCAATTCAGTCAGTAGAAATCATTTGTGTGAATCACACTGTATCAACTAACAGGAATATTATTAATACCTTTGAGTATCCGAAACCATTGTCTGATGATATATGTTAAGAAATTTATTAAATACACAGGAATGAATCCACTGAAGAAATAATTTTCAACTTTACAATGACACGAATTTTGAACAGATCACTGCACTGACCTTGTGTGCTTAAATATGTTGCAGATTAATAAATATACGTTTAAAACTTGTTGGAATTTCTTTGTTGTTACTTTTCTAATTACAAGTTCACGTGTCTCTTTAGGTAATCTAAGTGAGACAAAGAATGTCGATAAAATCCAGTTTCGTACTTTTCAACAATACCTAAACTGTTGTTTACACTGGCCTCATAAAAAACAATTGCAATTAAAGTCACAGTTTAATTCAATCAGATTTATTTTTATGATACAATATTATGTTTGGTTTTTTTTCCGAATTCTTTGATCTATTTACAGCTAAATCCTTGGAACTTAACATGTAAATATTAAAAAAAACCCGGGAATTATAAATTAATAAACAGTTAGCAATGCAAACAAAAAAAAATGAAACAAATCGAGACATTTTTCGAATTTTATGTAGATGGGCTAGTTTGAAAGGAAATAATAAGAGACATTGTTGGAACCTTAGAATGCATCAATTCACTTCCTAGATTGTATCAAACATGCTGTAATGCACATGTTTATTCTTTATGTACTCAATATTTTTTCCAGTAAAATGCAATTGGACTTTGGCTCACCTTAAAACCGTGTATGAAATCAAGTGACTTGATAGAGAGAACAAACTAATTCAATTATTGTTCTTTTCAAACAGCTACGACCTAAATAGTTAATCGAAAAATGTTTTAGAACCAAAATTTTGATTGTCTTGCATATACATTGATTTGGTTCACCATCGAACTGGAATCGTATATATCTGCTTAGCTAGGTAATATCATTGACATGTGTGCATTCAAGTTACTTGTACGGTGACAACATATTATATCAGTGAAGCTTTATGTTAACTGTTATAAATTGAGGGACTATTTTAATGAATCATAAAGATTTCGGTATTGATTAGTTTTCAAATATAGCAGCAGCTGAACTAATACAGTCGCGACAAAAGCATAACGTTTGGTTTATTGATTATGTGCTTGTTAGTTAAGATCTGAATGTACCTAAAATAACAGTTAACGATTCATATTACGTAGGAGTTTAGTCAATCGTTCATTTTATCGTGATAAATTACAAAGTTTGAGATGATGATGTATAGTAGCTTAAGTAGATGATTTTAGGCGGCATTCAGGTAAGGAAAAGTTATGAAATAGAATGTATTCATTTTGTGCTGCAAAGATTTTTGTTCTGATTGTAAGCAATACAATTTAATGAGTTATTCTAATGTTTTAGAATGCATTGATATGCCTAAATCAATTTTAGTGTCCATATATCAGCTATAAACAGTTTAGACAAACGGTATCAACGTATATTGGTTATTTAGCTGAGCTATTTATCCAGCTTTTAACACGCAGAGAAATTCTTTCGTGAAGGGCTATCTAAGACAAGTATTTCTGAATTTTTATATACAAAATAATAAAACATTCAATGTCATGTGTACAACATTAATAAATCGTTATAAAATAAGGCTAAAATATACTGTTTTACTTCTTAACATGATTTAATCAATAATCTCAAGGTATTTTAAGTCTACCATATTTAATAGTGAGATCGTACGAGACTTTAAAATCGTCTTCAGCGTTACTGTGGTAAATATTAATTTGCTTTAAGAGCTTTTGTTAACGCGTTCACAGGAACCTACATCTGAAAGGAAGTAGAATTCTTGTCAATGTGGTCGTTAAACATTTTTAGATAGTGGACATAAATTGAATATAAGCAATGAATTAAAAGAAAACGATTGATAATGAACACTAATTTTACTTCTTTTTATGCAGGTAGTCTCTATCAAACGTAATCGATTTGACCTTTGTAAACAGTCAGAAAGTGTAGCCAGTCTTGTTCTGCCTTGGTAACTGTTTTTTGATCACGTAGCCTTAATTAATATTTTTCCCTCCTCTCATTTTTTTCATCGTTTATTATTAATCCTCTACATAATCTCAAGGATGCTTGCATATTTAATTAGTTCTATTTCCTAACCTATTGACTCAGTGGACAAAGAATTGTCAATGTCACTATTCTTTTAATCTTGATTATCATTATGAGTAACTAAAGCACCCATCATATTCGGCATTATTACCTTGGCAGATATTGATACACATCGATATTAACTATGTTTATCTATAAACTATGTCTTATTTTTCCCATAATTTTGATTTTCATTATGCTTTCAAACATTGATTTAAACTTTACGAATTAAAGTATGTTAAGCGTTTGCTTCGATTGATATGAATAATAATAACTTTATGTTGTATGAAGCTGATAATAAACGGTGGAATTGAATGAATTCATTTTAGTCTGCAAAAACTTTATTGTTATTGCTCTCTTTGAAATCTACTTATTTATGTAGTTCTGTCGTCCGTGAATATTTCGTCATTTTATTAGGAAAACATTTCCTCATGCGGATAGCTAATGGAACAAGATAACACTAGACCATACCAGTTTTTTCCTAATTACTGAAAGTGACAAACAGTAGTTTATTCCGTGAATGCATGTATTTTCTTTCTGCATATGGTATTATTTAACTCGAAATAAATGAGTACATATTTTACTCATCTTTCTGCGTACGTTGATTACTTAAGTCTAGTTCAATTTTACCTATGAACTGGGTTTCACCTCTTCTGGTTTTAGTTAGCTTCAAACTATTGAAGTAGTGTTTTGAAAATTTGGAAGTTTATCAAAAATTTTTCGGCAATAATATTCCCATTTTGGGGTTGTAGAGATTGTTGAGCTACTTATTGGAATCATAAACTGATCAATGTCAGACCATCGTTAAAAACCTGGAATCAATGGGTGGCCGTTTCATCCTGGTGTGGGACTCATCAGCAGAGTGCACCCACAACTCCTGCACCTCGTAGTATTCGAACTCAAGACCTCTAGTCTTTTGTTCGACCGCCTAACTTTTCGACCACTGAGCCGTTAACTGAAGGAATTAAAGTCTAGATTCAGTGGTCCAAAATTTAGGCGGTCGCACAAAAGACTGGAGGTCTTGAGTTCGAATACTACGAGGTGCAGGAGTTGTGGGTGCACTCTGCTGATGAGTCCCACACCAGGATGAAACGGCCACCCATTGATTCCAGGTTTCTAATGATGGTTCAACATCGATCGGTTCCTGATTTCAAAAAATAACATTTTCAGAAGTGCTTACTCTACTCTAGACAGTCGACTATGCCTGATATTTAGTTCGTTAAATATGATGGCCGTAACTATGCATATTTAATATGATAATGAATATATATATATATATATATATATATATATATATATATATATATATATATATATGAAACCCTGTTTCAGACTTACTTATGCAAAAGAAGTTTCGGATTCTGTCCGACTGCATAGAACAATTTTCTTATAAAATTTATCAAAGTGGTGGACGTTCAACAAATGTGCTTTCAGAATCAATAATAAGGCTTATAAGTTATATTTTCTGTATTCAGAACATGAAATATGAATCTACAGAGAGACTTAACAATTCGCTTTCTACATCCTTAACTTTATTTATATTTGTTGTATAACTAGCGTCTTTGGGTTATTAAAGTGTTTGTCACAATATAACAAAGAAAACTTATTTGGTTGAGACCATTTATTATATTTTAGAAACTTAGTAATTTTTTGGTATTAGGACGCGATATAAATAAGTGCGACCTTGTTAGCACTACCATTCAAACATTAGAAAGTATGCAATATTCAATGCTCACGATAATGTCCTAAACACTCGCTACACTACTTTGTAATCAGAATGAATTTATGATACTGTTTGAATTTCTCCTGTTTCAAAATTGGCTTCTTAATATGTTACTCACCACTGGTGTTCAATGGTACCATCCAAATACTTCTCCAAATTTCTGGTTTCATTAATTCATATATGCTGATATATTTATTTAGACTTAGATAAATTTTGTTACTGGATTAAGTTATTTTCATAAATAAAGTCGTTTCTGTCTGTTTAACGATCGTTCATAAAACTGTGACTTAACGTCATAAGAAGTAAATCAACCGATTAAAATTGTTAGAGTAAGTATGTTGAATTCACGACGCTGGGTTGGAATTTAAGTGACATGAGTTATTGTGACATCTAAATCTATTGTGCACATTAAATGGATAAAGTTCAAAATTATTTCATTATAATGGACATTGACAGAAAGTGGACTATAATCCAAAACCAGTTTTACACACTGAACACTGAACTCACTCTCCACTTCAGGGATTTATGTTATCGATTGGGTGTTTCATCAGGATTCGATTGTAAGCGCTTCTATCCAAAACATCAATGGCTCAGGTATCGACCAATTATATCAGACGATACGATTGGAAGTTTTTACTGGGAGTCAAAGCGCAAAACGTTTGGAAATATGATGATATTTAATAACCAGTAACCAATATGGCAATTCAAGTGAAACTTACGTAATATACACTATTAAGCAACATTTTTAAATAAATATTCACTTTTGATTTTTTTTTTTAAAACAGATTATTAAAATGCTGGCTTTCATTGTTGCAATGTTCGGAATATGTTGGCTGCCATCACATTTATTTTTCCTTCTACAAGATTTTAGTCCGTTATTTCGTAATATGCCTGAAAATAAAACCAGAATTGTATATGGTATTTGCCATTGGATAGCAATGTCCAATAGCTTTGTTAATCCGATCATTTATTTGGTTATGAGCAAATCGTTTCGGGTAAGATAAAAATTTATATCTTTTGATGTATGGAGTTTCAGATCATTGTTTTACGCCTTACCGTTCAGTCAGGAGAACGATTGCTAACGAAAATAAAATTCTTAGTTCTGCATAGAGATAATCTAATATTAGCTGCTATAACAAACGGTATTGCAAATTTTCACTTTTCAGTTAGCAAAGTGGTGATTAGAAAGGAGTATAGTTGATGTACAGCTTTCAATCGTTATTTTCAGTACCAAATTATGACTTACGGTTTGCAGTAATGAAAACAAGTTGTGGTTGCATTCAGTCTCTATAATTCAAATCCTTTTTGTATTCCCTGGTCAGGTACTACGTTCTTTGCTGATATAGTTAAACGACATTTCTATTTGATTGTGTCTTTTCTTTCCCCATTACACTCATTTATTTCATGCGTCAATGAAGATAGAATTTTGTGAAAAAAATTATGACGGGTTCCTCACTGAAAGAACGGAGATGAACCTAATCTCTTATGCCTGTATAGTGAAGATATATTTAGAATTATTTGATGGACTTACATTTTTGTTTTGTTACGCCTGCACGTAAACACGTCAACTTGATATGTTTGAATTATTACGAGTTCACGTAGTCGGAAAACGAGAGCGAGTATCGAGGTTCCAGCGACACGACATGCTACTCAAATCCGATTATTCCAACCCCCATATTGAGTAAAAGTAAGAAGACTTGATATGAAGTAGAACCTATATTCTACAAGCATCCAAAAAATACGAGGTCCGAGTCCAGAAGAGAATCAGGATCTCGGACTAGGGATCCGGGAGCGGGTCCTGGTCCTGGTCATAAAACGTCACAAATAATGCGCATTTATACATTTCGGTCGAATAGGAAACAGCATTAAAGTCTGTGACATTGACACCCAAGACGACCAATAGGAAGCAAAATTTGAAGTGACATTGATAGTCAGGACAACCAACAAGAAACAACATTGGAGCAGGTGACATAACATTGACCAGTAGGAATTAACCAGTAGGAACTGACCAATAATTCTCTTAGGATATTGGATGAATATCCTAACAATTTGATGTGCCCTAAAAAGATCCCTGAAGTACTGATAGAAATGTTTAATATTTAATATTATTATGTTCCATACCATCACACTATTCAGTCATCGTTATTCATTGGATTCAGAACCCAAAGATGAGAAGAAACTTACACTTCGTTACACTAATAAGAAATTAAATACCTACGAGAAATCTTTTCATTTGACATGCAGCTGGCCACAAATATTCCAGATTTTAGAGATTATACGTTAAAAGGAAATAAAAAGGGATATGTTGCTTCATCAAAGTATGTGTATGCAAAGTATAAAATAGACTAAATATAGCTGAAATTTAGATTTGACAGTGTAAAATAGTTGTATTTTCAGTCAACTGATTTCTTAAAGCTTCCTTACAGAACTAGAGATTTGAATTGATGTAGTTTATAAATATTTGATTTGCGAATGTTTTATTTTGATGAACAGTAATTTCTATACATTATTTACTGGACTCCTGAAATAATGGTGATGATAATCGCATACATTTTAGATAGTTTCTTCAAGAAAACACGATTTCAGAGATCAGAGTGAATGCGTTTTGCGGGAACAGTTATGTATAATCTGCGGGATTATTCATACACTGTTTTTTGAAACTCGGACACAAATAATTTTTCACTGTATATGTTATTTTATAAAAAAAAACCCCATTGTTCTTTTAAATCAGTGTATTAAAAAGGTATTGACACATTTTGAATGCCCGCTTTTAATTTCAGACTGATTTCAAAAGAATTGTTCAGTGCATATTCCCATGTTGGAAATCAGGTAATCTTCCAAATTCTTGAATATATTCTCAATGCGCCTGTTGTTAAAAAAAATTTACTAACTTCATCGGCAGAATTGAAGTAAACAATCGTTGGATTAACTTTTCTGATGTATAAAGATTCAGACAGGTTGCGATTCAAATGATGAGTTCCAATGCATTTTCCAAATATTTCATGTCAAATGAGAGCCAACACATAATATGTTTCAATGAAATAACTGACGGATGATTATTACTAACTATTATATTTGCTTACAACCATTTTTCTTCATTAAAACTTTTGAATTATATTGATACAATTTTTATCAAACTAATGTAAGATGATAAACTTTTATCTCCAAAAATTGTGTTTTATTTGTACAATTGAAAAATAATGACGGAAAACATGAAATGCTTTTAATCAATGGAAATCGGAATCAGTCACTCGGTGATAAAATGTATTACAGTTTACAGTTATCAGATAACTGTGTATAGTCAAAATCAACATTAATTAACTTAAACAAATACTTCCGTCTTTCGTAACCTGTTCTGATATTATTTCTATTACTTTCCATAAATAGATATGTCCGAATACGTTTGGACATTTATTATCTGGCATTATAAAATGTCAAAGTTAATGTTTAGTGAACTTAGAGCCGAAAACATTTTTGATAAACTCACACGTTTTTATTTACAGCTGTTCAGTTACGTTTGTGGATATATGTATTTTGCAACATGGCTTAAACTAATTCTGAGTTTTCTAGTCAAAATGAAGCTTCTTATGTAACTAACGGTAAATCAGCTTCATTAATTGCTAACAACTAAATAATTAACAGAAATTTACCAGTTCTAATGACTTTTAGCTTTATCTGAAAGGTTTGGGATGTCTGAAAAATGTTACGCTTAACAAGCTAATAAAATTTTATCGCTTTTTAAAAACTACTGGATAATATTTTCTGTTTACTTCCGCTTGTAGCCGTTCTAGGGGTACTGCCGGTTCGAGGCACAGATAAAAGAGGAGGGTTAGGTGCAGAATTAGCGACTCCATCCCGTGAAAAAGCAGCTTTTAAAAAACCACTAACCATAACAAATAATTCAGGCCATTTAAACTCTGCCCTAGCGATTGGAAGATTTTCATTTAGAAGAGTTATTACGCCTCATTGTAAAAGCTGAGTTTCTTCGGATGTCACGAAGCCGATACTCCTTCTCACGACCAAAGCAACAATTAATATAGGTGCATGGAATGTTTGCACTGTGCGAGAGACCGGAAGAACTATTCAGGTTGCTGCAAAAATGAAAAGTTATAATCTGTGGTTCTTGGAATCAACGAAGTACATTGAAATCAGGCTGGACAAAAAGATTAGATTCTGGAGAGATTCTGTTGTTCTCCGGTAGTGAAGAAGAAAATACCCCTCACATAAAGAGTTATACAGATGCTATCCAAAGAAGCACAAGAAGCACTTAAAGGATGAGAATCTCATGGACACAGGATAATCAAAGCACCGTCCAAGAAAAAGGAAGAGGTGAATAAAATGAATTTCATTCAGTTCTGTACGCCTTTCACTGATAACAAAGAAGACAACAAAGATCAATTGTATGAGAGGCTGCAGTAAACGGTTGAGCAATCCTCAATAAATGAATTGAATATTATGATGGGATACTTAAACACCAAGTTTGGAAAGAGTAACACCACATATGGAGATATCATGGAACGACATAGACTGGGAGAACGGAACGTAAAAGTTGAGAGATTCGAAAATCTGTATGCCTTTAACAAAATGGTTAAAGAGGGCACTATATTCCCACACAATCACATACACAAAGTTATTTGGGTTTCATCGGATCATATTACGTAGAAAAAGATCGACCACACTGAAATAAATATAAAGTCTATAAGGACCATGAAAGATGTGAGAGCCAAGAGAGGAGTTGACATATCTTTAGACTATCACTTGATAGTGACCAAGATGAAAATGAAACTCAAGACGTACTGGACAACTAGGAAGATTGCAAGGTAAATGCTTGACATGGCGTTTCTTGAGGATACTAGTCAGATATATTTCAACATTAGGTTCAAGGTCTTCACGATCTACTCGATAAGATAAAACCACTATGGAGAACAGCCGGAAAATGGATTGAAGAAACATTAACTCCGGAATATCCCAAGATTTCTGGTCACAAAAATCTCAATCAAAAGGAGGGGATCTCGGCTAATACTCTGGATATGATTCAAGAAAGCAGGTGAAAGAAGACAGAGGTCAGTGACAGTAGAAGTCGCAAGCGAAAAGCAAGAGAAAAGAGGCAAAACCTGATGAACGGAAATATGTGGAAGAACTGTCAATGGTGCCAAATGAAGCTGTAGGAATAGGAAATATGAAAAAAAACTATACGATACAACGATGGTGTTCTCTGGGAAATGTGGTAAATCAGAGTGACCAGTGAAGAACAAGGAAGGCAAATCAATCACCCACGTTGAAGAACAGTGAAGCGGGTGGATAGATCACTTAGAAGAACACTTCAGTAGAGTAGCTCATCTGAACCTACCTAAGGTTGCATTGGCACCTACGGTTCTATCAACTGAGGTTGACCCACCTACAATGCAAGAGATAAGAAAGGTCATCAGAAAAATCACTGGTGTCAAAGCGGCGAAAGCAAGTAACATAACAGCTGAGGCCTTGGAAGCCGACACGGCAGTAGCTGCGGAGATGTTCCATACTTCGTCCAGCAAGATTTAGAGATAAGGACAAGGACTTACAGAATGGAAAGAAGGACACCTCATCAAGATACCAACGAAAAGAGATCTCAGCAAGTGTGAGCAATGCAGAAACATCACTTTTCTATCGGCAACAAGAAAACTGTTCAACAGAGAGTTGTTGGACGGAATGAAACAGTCAGTAGACTTCCAGCGTCAAGATCAACAGGGTAGATTCCAAAAGAATTTATACTGTACCGAACAAAATGCGACATGACGGATTATTGTTGAACAATCACTTGAATAGAACTCATCCATATACATCAACTTCATGGACTTCGAGAAAGCGTTTGATGGCGTGGATAGGATAACACTATGGAGGCCTCCTCGACATCTTGGTGTACTAGTCAACATCATACAGATTTCTTATGATGGGTTATGCTGCAAAGTCGTGCATGGATAACAGCTCACAGATTCATTCCAAGTGAAGACCGGTGTCCTAAAAGGTCGCTTACTATCACCCTTTCCCATAATTCTAGAGGTTGACTGGAGAATGAAGACGTCTGTTGCAACACAATCCAAAAATCCGTGCTTTGAATTATGACTGGAAACAATATTATTCAGTGAGAAGCTGGTTTTACAATCAACGTAAGGTAGAAGTTGGTGTTAGCGTAGAATTAGACTATATATTTGATAGAACACAAACCAGTCACTTTTCTAAGCAACAAAATTGCACCTACTGAGACCACATAATTGATACTAATGATAAAGTTAGATTTCATTTAGAAGCAAGTAGACAAAATCGAATAAGCAATTCAGATGCCTTTCAAAAATAAATGCTATCAGTATAGATAAATGTGTTTGATCGCTATAAAGTTTCGTTACCTTTGCGATAAAATTTGTCTGACGTTAGTAAAAAGCTTGCTAAAATGTTACTATGTCATAAGTGCTAAATAACGTGTGGTATCCAAACAGTCTATACTTCATCTGACTTTATTTAGAGGTAAACGTATTCTATCTCCATAATCTCTTAAAGTTGATAATTAGGAAATTCAAATTTATCTTCTAAGCTAACTGAAGTACTATGATTTGTCATTGTATTATCAGTTTATGTGAGTCGGTGAATAGCTTAAGACACAAATTGACGTCTAAACAATAGAAGCTATTTCAATTTTAATTGGTTTTCGCACATTGAAATGATTAATCAGTCATTGTTAGATTACCATTAGAAACCTGGAAGTACTGGACGGCCGTTTCGTCCTGCTAAGGAACTCATCAGAAGTGCGCATCCACGACTCCTACACCTCGTAGTGTTCGAACCCGGAATCTTCAGTCTTGCGCGCAAACGCCCAACCTCTGGGCCGGTATTCAAAGGTGTTAATGTCTAACTTTGATCAATCTACCTATTTCAGTGTGCAAAACCACTAATCTCCGTAGCTCTACTTGAAAAGAATTTTAATTGTGTTGTGATATTTTTAAATTTATGGGTCGTGAATTGAACCCGTGTTGTTATACTCGAATTTCTTACAGATTTATAACGAGTTGTAGCACTAAGTACTCCATTCACATGTAGAACCTAATTAAGTTTAATATACTTCACCCAGTTAATCACCTGTGAAATTTTTAACTAAAGACTCAAATCCAAATGATTTTTACACAAAAACTAATGTTTCTGAAAAAAATGACCACTTATATGTGAAATGAAGACCTTGAAGTATATTTAAACTAGTCGTAACAGATTTAAAACAGTGCCACAATAATATTCTTTGGCGAAAACCGTTTAATTTTGCAATCATCATTCTAAAAATTTGACAGATGCACTTTAGAAGTTTGATATAAGTGACAAAGCTTACATCGTCGACAACTTTCAAATCGATCGATATTAAGTGGCAAAACGATTTTCACCATCTTGTGTTTTATGTTGGATTATCAAATTATTTTATTTTACCTTAACATTTACTTTTAAAAGTCAATTACCTAGGAAAATAACATTTGTTTTTATTACGTAGATTAATTGTTTCCAAAATGTTAATTATTTGTTTTTGATGTAATCACCAATGAAGAAGTAGATAACAACTACTTAAAGTTAACAATAATTGTTATGTTTTTTTGCATTGTTTATTGCTTATTTCATTTGGAAAAGACTGAAACATTTAAAACCTAATTACGGCTAATTTGAAATTGCATTTGATCCATGTGGTGAACAGATAAATGTAATCCTTATTTATCTGGTTGTATAAACAATGAATGAACTAGGATTTCTGCTGATTTTTATTCGCTATTATAATTTTCATGGTAAGCCAAAAAAAAAACTATGACTGACATGCTGTTAAGTAAGTATATGCTGCGAA